CTGCTGTCCTCATTTTCCAGTTGCACAGGAAGATGTAAAACAGCAATGTCTGATATGACATAGATCCTAGACCTCTTTTTCAGGTGAAGTGTTTGAATGTCTTATCCACACGGAATGTGTCCAGCTGCATGTTTTTTGGGGGGGTTTATTTGCCATTATTTTGTGATACAGAACGCTTCACCGTGCATTTATAATGCATTGTTGTTAGTCTAAGTGGTCCCAACAGCAGTCAAGGCACCATTATGTGTTACCTGCAGAGCAACTGGCAATACCTTGCTAAATCATTTGCTACCCATATGGACAAGACAGTATCAACATTTTAAACATAGCGAAAGCGTAAATAAATAAAGGATTTGATATAGAGTAAATGGAATAAGCCCAAAGCTTAGGGGATAGCTAGCCTGTGAGAATGGAAAGAAGTTAAAGAACAAAGAGTAAAGAAGAGCACAAGACCAGGACAAAGACAGGTCTTGGGGACCACCTGGAATGGAAGTAATGGTGCTCCAAGCAGTTGGCGGGCAAACCCAGGCGCAGGAGAACTTACTTGCCTGGGATGGGAGTCAGGTTCGCTTGGGAACAAAGCGCATTAGAAGTTCTTCCTACAGTGTAGTATTTTCATGATATATATCTATAAGGACCCATATATATATGCACACACATCAATTAATAAGGACAAAATACAATATGAAAAATGTGTTCATTAATCAATTCCCATCCATTCTGTGGGTACACAATGCAAGATTATCTGGGGAAATAAAACAGCAGGTGATCAAAGTAGGATAAATATTTTCTCTCAACCGTAAAGGAGATTGTGGAGATAAGCTGGTTAATTTTTGTGCAATGCTCAAAAAAGTGTGAAACGGCAGTAATGTTTACTGCAGTTATTTTTTTTTTAAATTACAATGCTTGTAATGAAATACTTGTGTATGATTTTGAAATCATAATTCCATTGTCTGCTGCATTTGAGCCACTATATAGCATATATGTGTATGTACTGTCTTCTAATTACATTCCCTTCATTTGTTTCTTAATTTTTAATTTCCTATACTAGAAGAAGGGGGGAAGGAAGCTTATTATATTTTCATGTATCGTTTGTTTTTGCAATCTTTCATTTATATTTGTCAGCTGCATTTGACTCAAAGAAGGGATTTCTTCTGCTTTAGAATATATACTACAAGGAATTAGCATTGTTCCCAGAAGTGTAATGAGTATTTTATAGTAAAAGTAGAAAGAAAATGTTACAAAAAACAAGTAACAGCAGTGAAGAATAGTTTCGGTGTGAATGTAAGTTTCTAAAATGTGCTTTTGTTCTGTGAATGTGGGTGCTAAAATTTCTTATTTGTGTGTCTTTCTGTTCAGCCAGCAATACAGGTATGCACAGAAGGCAAATCACTGACCTTTTAGACCAAAGCATTCAGATACATTCCCAGTGTTTTGTCATCACCTCTGATAATCGTTACATCTTGGTCTGTGGCTTCTGGGACAAGAGTTTCCGAGTTTATTCTACTGACTCAGGTAGTGTATTTTTAAAACACGGGACTAGCCTAAAAGATTTTTCTGTTCATTGTCAACCTACTGTTTCAAATAAAGAAGGAATGGAGAGCAGGTGGAAAAAGCAGAGTATGTATTTATTCCCCTATTAATAATATTTGTCAAATCTTTTCTTACTCACTGCTACTGTGTATTGTATGCCATCATTTTTGTGGAATGGTGGCAAATGTAAGACAAGGAGCTCTTGTTTAACCATAGCATCACACTTCAAATCTATATGACAGGCACGCCTATTCTTACACTGTAGTTTCCACAAGTAAATGAGTTTTTGTGAAGCTTTGCATACCAGGAGAATTAATTGTTCTTAGAGTGCTTACTTGAATTTAACTCTGGCTGGTTTTCAGCACCAGAGAATTTTTTTTGAGGAAATACAGGCAAGCACCACAGAATAAGAACAGACGTGAAGTCCTGAAATCTGGTGAAAGGATACTTATGAAAGTGTTTGAAAGCTATGCTATAATAGAAAAATTGATTTGGAGCCACTGAATTCTTTCATATAACATAAACTGATCGATATAATGGGCAGCAGTTAAATTAGTGTGTCAGCTGGCATGTATCCAAACCATTGAAGTCATGCATGTGTCATGCTAAATAGAAAAGAATCTTTCAGTGTAAGAGCTACAGGAATTTAAAAGCCATGGAGCCCCAGAAAAAAATAGGTATGATTTTTTTCCCTTTCATTATCTTATAATGGGAATAGCGACCTCACTGCAAGGTACTTCTTTGGGATTAATGACCCGGTGTGGTTAATGTGTGTGTGCCATCAAGCTTTCCAGTAAGTTATTAATCCCTAGGGAATATCCTACATGTTTGTCATCATTTCTTAAATATATTAGTTAATAGTGTTTTTCACACTTGGCAAACCAAAATGTTTAACAAAACAGGATGGTCTTTAATGAAATCTGTTAAGACTAGATCTCATGGCATATTTTAGCGTATCTGTCAGTTTTGCGATTTTAAAGCCTTAAGTATAAAGGAGAAGTTCCATTTACTTCATATTGACTGCCTACAATTCATTACGCAGACATCTTGTTAGACCCTTCTTAGTTTAATTTTCTCATTGATGAAAATAAATTTACATAAAACTGTGAATTTGAAGGAGGTCTTCAGAAAAGTGAGATAGAAGTGATAAATATTCAGTGTATATTCTTGATTTATATGAATAGGGGAGCTAATTATTTTATGTTGGAGGATATATTTTATTTTACACCTACAGAAGGAACTTGTATGAATTTGGTAGCTTTGTCCTGTATCAGTCTGAACTACAAATATCTCACGAAGTTACGTCTTCTGTGTATAAGTCAGATACACCAGGCATCTCGTTACTACTGTAGCTAATTGTGGTATAAATGAAAATACAGTTGTCAAAGAAGTTGCAGAAAATTTGTGTTTTCTGCGTCTCCTGTTTGTCAATATAGCAACTCTAGTTCTATCTCAAATCAAGTGAATTCAGATGTAGTTTATTTTGCTTTGAATTAAAATGAGAATACAGTAGTGAAATACTTATTCTGAAATCAGCAGAACAGCAAGGGAAAAAGATGATGTGATCAGTGATACACAATGGCAAGTGATTGCAAGTGTTGAATTCAGTTGTATTTTAGCATTTACACAAAAAGGGAACCTTTTTCCTACTAGATCTTGTGTTTGGGCTTTTTTAACAGGATATACTTGTAACATAAATCATGGGTTCTCAGCACAGCTAGTATAGCAGAAGTACAATAAAACCTTCCTCCAGCAGCGTGAATGATTTCTAGACAGCATTTTAGATTCAGTAGTGCAGAGATTTGAGTCTTCTTTTTCTTTTAATTATTTGTAGCACAGCTGTCAAATAAAACATTAACTAGAAAATTTGTTCTGTCAAAAAGGGATATCTGAGTGCATATGGTAAAATTTGATATTACTGTATAGAGAGGACAACTTGAAACAAAAAAGTTGAGGAACTCTTATGGATTAAATATTTTTTTTTAACTAATATGAAAGAGCAAAAGCTTATTTCTTGTTTTGATGGAATTGATTGAACCTTAGCTGCACAGTGACAAAGTAAAACTAACAAGGCAGTGCAACTACACGATCAACTGTCAAACGAATAGCCTTGAGAAATGTTTGTTTTCTACAACAGAAACTATAAACATAGAATATAATTGAAAGAGAGATCTCTATAACTCAGCGATGTTTATAGCATAAACTTGTGTTCTAAAAGTATAAATCACCTCAGGTAGTTGAATACCTACAGCTATACAACTGAAAAATATATCACATAATTAAATTATTCTCAAACCTAAACCATGTAATTGACAACTTGAATTTTCAGGGAAAAACATACACTTGGTAAGATGTTTTTGTATATTGCCAAAATGAGGTTACATAGTCTGTGAGTGTTTCACTGCTCCTAGCTGTGAAGTTCAGTTAACTTCTGACTAAATCTGTTGACTGGTCAGCATCTGAGAAAGTTAGGTGACCCTGTGGCACAAATTAAAGCCCTGCTGTGTAGAGATGACCTCTGTAGAACGCTATTACCAACTCAGAGAGATGAGTGAAAGACTTGATCCCTGAGTTACTCTCCTTTCCGATACAAGGTAGATCTGCACGGTAAGTGTATGTTCCAGGGTTTTGCCCCCTTCCAGCCAGAAAAAGCTCATGTGATCGTACTTCATTTCACAATTTCTCTTGGAGGATTATATTTGCCTAATCAGTTTTGTCAGTGCTTTATTTTAAATCCGATGTACAGGTTTCCTTTAAACTGCATCATGTTATTCTATTTTTTCTTCATGTACTAAAGTCAGTCATTCCCCTTTTTTGTAGATATTCATACCTTTCTCTTGTTTTTTTCTGGTTTTCTCCACTTCAATGCAGTTACCTTTTTGATCTTCTGTTATAAATCAGGCTGTTAACATTACTTTCAGTCTTTCCTCAGAACCACTCCCTTAAGTCTTCTATTACTGTTAGTGTTATTTAGTGGCTGGATATGAATACAGTGCCCTTGTACTGCGTAGAAAGAGGGCTATGAAATCTGTCCTACTAGCCATATTATATGATTGACTAATTGTTTTTAATTCGTGCACCAAAATATTTTATTAAGATGTGCTTAATTTGAGTCCCAAAAATGATTTGTGTTACTACTTGTCATGTTGCTAGTTACTATTTTTAAACACTTTTCCGAACATGTTATTTCAGGTACAGTAGTTTGCATTTCCTGTTTCTTTTCTGGCCTTTGTTATTAATCCTTCCAAAGCCATCACTCTTTTCCCCTTCTGATCTTACTCATTTTTATTCAGTCCAAAGTACAAATGGATGCATGGTCATTTGGGCTGAGGAATCTGAGGTCACACATTAATGGCATCACACATCACACATCACACTCCTTGTGACATTGGATGCAGAATTTGGCCTGGCCCATGTTACCTGAATTGGCCAAGCAGGTGCATAGAAAAATGTTTCTGTGTATCTTTTGTCCTGTCACTACAAGATCTGCAGTTGCTAGGCTTCAGCAAATGCAACGAGATGGATTTTAGTGCTTACATTCTCATTTCATAGGATCATGTATGCTGCTGGCAGATCCAGAAACCAGCAGGACACGTGACGTGTTTGCTATATAGGAGCCAGCCTCTGTGATCTACTGTGGGTGACCTTACATGTGTTTGTTTCCTCTCCCACATGCAAATCCACTATGCATGAGCATCCAAATTTACATTTTTCTGAAAATATTGTCCTGTTTAGTTAAGGTTAAAAGCTAATAGTCATATTCATGTTAATACAGACCCTCAAATGGCACATTTTTAACTGCCTAGGCTTTCCTTTCTTTTTCACATTTATGTCTCTTACCAGTGGTACAAGTGTTTGTCCTAACAGAGTTTTTTCCAGGTTTGTCTTCTGAGGTTTTTTGAACATTACAGAAGTCTTAAAAGAATAGAACAGAACAGAATCATTAAGGTTGGAAAAGACCTCTAAGATCATCTAATCCAACCGTCAACCCAATACCACTATGCCTACTAAACCATGTCCCAAAGTGCCACGTCTACATGTTTTTTGAACACCTCCAGGAATGGCGACTCCACCACCTCTCTGGGCAGCCTGTTCCAATGCTTGACCGCTCTTTCAGTAAAGAACTTTTTCCTAATATCCAATCTAAACCTCCCCTGACGCAATTTGAGGCCATTTCCTCTTGTCCTGTCGCAAGTTACTTGGGAGAAGAGATCAACACCCACCTCACTACAACCTCCTTTCAGGCAGTTGTAGAGAGCGATAAGGTCTCCCCTCAGCCTCTTCTTCTCCAGACTAAACAACCCCAGTTCCCTCAGTCACTCCTCATAACACTTGTTCTCCAGACCCTTCACCAGCTTCGTTGCCCTTCTCTGGACACGCTCCAGCACCTCAATGTCCTTCTTGCACTGAGGGGCCCAAAACAGGACACAGTATTCCAGGTGCAGCCTCACCAGTGCCAAGTACAGGGGGACAATCACCTCCCTGCTCCTGCTGGCCACACTATTCCTGATACAAGCCAGGATGCTGTTGGCCGCCTTGGCCACCTGGGCACACTGCTGGCTCATGTTCAGCCGGCTGTCAACCAACACCCCCAGATCCTTTTTGGCCAGGCAGCTTTCCAGCCACTCTTCCCCAAGCCTGTAGCGTTGCATGGGGTTGTTGTGACCCAAGTGCAAGACCTGGCACTTGGCCTTGCTGAACCTCATACAATTGGCCTTGGCCCATCGGTCCAGCCTGTCCTGATCGCTCTGCAGGGAGGGATCTTCCTGCCCTCGAGCAGATCGACACTCCCTTGAAATAGTTGGCAAGCATTTAAATGGTGATATAAAAACCTGGGTACAAGAGTAATTTTTCATCTAAATCTCCTTTTCTCTGTTCAAGGAGATGCTCAAAAGCTGCATATACTATATGCACATACATGCTCTCACACTACTAATTTCTTCTGGATCCTAAATGTTCTGTAGCTTCTTCTGATTCTGTTTCACGCATCATCAGCAGATTTGCATTTTTGCTGTTAACTTTAATCAGTAAACTTACCTTAAACTTGTCTTAAAAGAGAATCTCATCATGTTCCCTGCCTGTAAAGTGAATGTAAACATACAGAATTAAAAAAACCTTCTGGCATGATTGGTCTTTGAATAAAGTATAGTATTTATGGACTGTAAATATTTTTTGTATGGACTACTGCACTTTTAAATAAGTTTCCACCAAATCAAGAAAAAAAATAGTACTCTCCACTACAGTTCTTTTTAGAACCTTTTTTAATAAAGAAAATATTTCTAAAATACTTTATAATGTATTTAATTTGCCTTAGAGTAAAAGCATAGTTTTAAAACAATCAATTTTATGTGTTTCAGGTAAACTGATACAAGTAGTATTTGGGCACTGGGATGTTGTAACCTGTCTTGCTCGTTCTGAGTCCTATATTGGAGGAAATTGTTACATTCTCTCAGGATCGCGTGATGCAACATTGCTGCTCTGGTACTGGAATGGCAAAACCAATATCATTGGTGATAACCCAAGAGGTAAGCAAAACCAGAAAAACCTGTTTTATAAGGACATTGCCTAAAAATGGCTCGAGTGAACACTTTGTATGACGAAGTTTCAGGTAACATTAATGTCAAAGTACAGTGTTTCTTTTTTTGTAGTTGTGATCAGTTCTGGTTTAAAGAATTGATGGTAAACAGTGCTTGCTTTGCAGCACAAGTAGGACTAATTCCTAAGGATAGGATACTGAACATTACAAATATATTTTTTTCTTGTCACTCATTTAATTAGGAAGGAGTGGCTCTGGGAGTGAGAGAAGGGAACGAGGTTTTTTTTATATTTCCTATTCAATCCGAGTAAATCTTTTTCTCTCAACATGATGATTTCATTAAATACCTGTATTGGAGTTGTTTAAAACAAAAAAGACTGTACATTACTCCAGTGCAGACTGTATTCTACGCACCTGTAATCTTATGCACATAGGTTCTCACAGCGGTACCTCAGCTATCAATAGAGTTACACAGACAGTGATTTTTTAACTTAGACTAAGGTCATTGTAATGACATGTGTAATGGCCTGAGCAGGATACTTAGGTGAAAGAAGGACAGACACGTGGGACAGATTAAAGAAGCAAGCTTAAAACCTTTTTCATTTAACACTTTGGTAGGGTGCTATGTGCCTAATCCTTGCTCTCACGTACTAGGCATTTTAATTGGTTCCAGTGCAAGCAACAGGGCTCAGACCATATAACCAAACTAGTAAGTCAGAGTAACCCTGCTTCAGCCTAATTCAGTTTTAACCCCTCCCCACCCAAACTCAGCTTGCACTTCCCAAAGAATTTAACCTCTTCGATCTTGCACCATTTCCCAGGAAATCCCAAACGTTATTACTCATGAAGATTCTCTCTTTTAACTCAATTTTCTATGGAAAGCAATGAAATGCTATCACTGTTTGACCCTGCTGTGACTATATTATTTAACAGGAAAGGTGAAAAGCAATCTTGTTTCACTCCACACAAAAAATTAATTCCTGATCCCCAAAGCAAAGGAGGCAGACATGCAGCTTGAGAAAAAGCCTTAGTGAGCCACTTTACAGGAGTAAGAGGCTTTCAAGACAGTTCATGAGAGCTTACATGCATGAATAGAGGAGTGCATCATAGCCAAACGGAGGTCCTGTTCAGCCAAAAAGAAAGTGCCCTGAAGAGAAGGGGTGAGAAGGAGTATATTCTGTCTGCCTTAAGAAGAGTGTTTGTTAGGTTTTCTGTCATACAGGCCTTCTCTGACCCTGTTTAAATACTAGTAAAAACATATCTCCTGTCTGCAGAGGACAAAATGGACAGCAGTGGAAAACAAGAAGTGTTGTTATACCTGACATATATTGCAGTTACAACTGGCATACAATTTCATAGAACGTAAACAATATCTGATATCTTCCAAATTAATCAATTTGGTAAAGTTGTGTGTTCCATACTCAATCTGTTACTCAACTGGAGTTACTCACATTTGAAAAAAAGAGGTGGTTTGACTGATATTTCGACCCGTGAACTATTTTAAAGAAGCACAACTAATTAACATCAGAATGAATATCTGGATTTAACCTGCAATTTATTTGATGTTGACTGTGAAAACTACTCAAAAAGTGAACAAGATACCGAAGTTCAATTCACACAGTTGCAGAATCTTCAGGCAGAGGATGCGAGCAAACTGTTCCCATTATCTTTCCAACATCCCAGTTCAGGAGATAGGAGCTTTTCTGGGGTGTGGCTAGCAAAATTTTATGAGCATCTTTAAATAAATATGGCTTTGGTTGAGGGACAGAATCTCTGTGAATACTTTATACATACTTTGCAATCTATCAATTTAAAGAAAATGCAAACTCGGTGCTATTTTTGCAGAGCTTGTAAACTTGGAAAATCCAAAAAGTCTGTGAAAGGAACTTAAAAGCTTGACAGTCAAGGGAACTTGTAAATCCTGAAGAGCAAAACTGCCCTTTTGAGGAGAAAACCCTAAATATTTTACTGGTGTGAAGCAGTGAACATTTGTAGGTCTCTCCTTACAGTGTTTTCAAGGCCTGCAAGTGCAGCCCAGCTTTGCAGATTCCTAGGCCTGTCCTGAGAAGTTCTTCTTGTGGGGTATTTGCTAGGCTTGCCTGCTTTCTGAACAAGACCTTGAGGCTATAGGCTCCTTTATGACCTTAACAGATCACATGCTGAGATTTTGTACCTAGTATCTAACTAGAATAGGTAGATTTTGTTATAATCTCTTGACTGTATTCTCTAATGCAAATTCCTAACGTATTAACATTTTGAAGTTTTCAAAGTTAATATTAGGCTATTTTAACTGCTGTTTAGAATCAAAGAATAGCTACCTGATAAGTCTCTTTGTTTGCAGTCCTATTAAACTTGTACTTTAGGGACAGGCAATGGCTACTGTGTTTACTAGTTGCCGTTATGTAGGTTTTTTTTGTGATACAGCATGCCTGAAAGCCTTTGTTATGAATTGGAATCTCATGGCACTACACATAGGCCTAGACATGCATATAGTAAAAGACAGTTTCTGCTTCAAAGAGATGGTAATCTGCGGGGTTTAATTTTTCCCAGAAATAGCTCTCTATAGGCATCTCTGTTCAGTCAGATTTTTTTTGAAAAGGCAAATAAAAAGAGCTGTTTCTGCTTAGTTCTGATTTTGTCAGAAATGGAAAGCACCAGCAGATTTGTTGGGTTTTGAGCCCTGTTACTGCAACTGTAATGTCCATCCATTTGTGGGATGCTAGATACTTAACTTGTCTGATGTCTTTTTGTGTTTGAAGCTTATGATTTTTTACCTCAAAATACAGTTTATTCATGCATTCAATGAGCATTATTCATTGGAATTTTAGATACTCTCAAAGTTGATACTTCCTTCCTATTTTTTTTCTCTATTTAATTATCTCTTATTTCAATCTAAAATGACTTCACAGCAACATGCATTCAGTGGCACTGTACCAAATCATGATGCCAGAGAATTTTCAACAAAAATAACCTAAACCAGGACCATTTCTTTCTTCTTTTCATAGTACCTGTTGCCTCTGATGCACATCAGTCAGCAGACTAGTATGATCAAGCTACCATAAATGCTATCCCATTGGGCACCCATTGCTCTACCAATTACATTTTATTTAGGTTCCTTTATCTGGTTTCGTTACTTTAGGAAACACTGAGCACTTGATCTCTGGCTGCATATATTCATGTTTTAGAATGGTACTTAACTCAAGTTGACAAACCAGCTGGGCTGTGGCATACATGATAAATAAGTGTTTTGTTTGATATTCTTTATCAAGGACAATTTTCTGACCAACTGGACTATATTGAAAAATTCTTAACATTTTTGGTTTAACAGAAGAAATACATTACTGAAATACTCATTATTTACATTCTTTAATTTTTAACTCTTAAGCTGACTTCTTAAAGATATTATACCTATGCAGTCTCACTGTCTGTTTAGTTTCTCCCTAATAACTCTCGAATGCATTGATGAATTTAAACCAAATTTGATGAATTTAAATCTCAAAGATATGAAATTCCTACATGGGACACATCTGCTGGAAACTATTTTTATTCTTCACAAAACAGCTTGATTACATTTAGGTTAAGTCCTTTTTTCCTTCTCAAATTAAATCCTGAAATTCAAAAAATATTTCACCATGCTCTTTGATCAAATGTAGGGTTTTTTTCTTTCTAAATTAATTGGTTTTGAAAATGTAGAAGCATGGCAGTACTTCACTTCGGTGCACAGGCCTTTTCTGATGCAGAAATGTTTCTGTGGACAATTTCTGACCACGCGTAGAAATAATTCAGAACAGAGCATAGGATCTGAAATAGTTGTATCCTTTAGAATAGCCCTGAGCCATGTTGAGTTCACATTAATTAGCATAATTCACTGTGGAGATGTAAAGTCGCTTTGGATAGCGTAAGGGGCTTTTATTTTTCTCTCCTTGGCATGTGGCTTGCTTTGGGGAGGTGGGGGAGGTAGGAGGGAGAGGATGCAACCCTCCCCTTGGTACCCCTTGAGGCCCATGTGTGATCTGTATCACAAGGTTGGCTTTTGCATATTTAGAGGCTCTGATCTAATAGCAAGGTACCACTTGGGGATGTGACACTATGCTTCAGGACTTGTGTTATTCCTGAATAGGGTGGTAGGATTTGTAGAGGTTACTGGGAGAGGGAAAGATGCTGTGTTTTGCGCTTGCCCATCCTAATGAGATGGAGGTGGAGGGGAGGTGAGAAGTGGGGGGTGAGGGGGGGAACTACGAGTGGTGGCTGGAGAAAAGAGATGAGAGAATTCATTTGCATACAAATGGTGTGCATCACTTTCAGATCCCACTCTCGCTTTGAAGCTCAAGTGGCAACTCTTAGTGTTTGGACATTTCCTAGGTTGAGGGATTGCATTTTACTTTGTAATGACAGAACCATAGGAAACAGGGCGTGCAGGAGCTTTGGTCACCTGATCTATTCTCTTTTCCCAAAAAAGGCTTAACTGCACAAAAAAACATTCTCGACATGTTTGTCCAACCTTCTCTTATAAACTATGGCAAATATATTTTTGGGCTTTACAAGCCCTACCATTAGCAGTCTTTTCCTAGTGGTCAGCCTAGTATCCAGTTCTTTTCTGCAGCAGTTGAACTCTATTGTTTCTTATATATTTATTCTTTATGTAGAGAACAGATTATTTATTTCCTTCTTGCAACAACTTCCAGTTATTTGGATTACCATGACCTGCAATTCTTTGCTTCCAGATTTAGTAACCCAGTTCTTTCTGTCTTTTTGCTGTAAGTCATGTCTTCGTAGACCTTTTTTTGTTGTTGTTGTTGTTCTCCTCTTCAGTTGTCTGTCTTCGTCAAAGTAGACCCAGCAATGCAGTTGAAGCCTTTCCAGTAATAAGTAGAAAACAACCTGGTTTACAGACCAGGACTGCTCACATCCCCATGGGATATCTGTCTGTTTCAAAACAGCATGACAGTGTTAATTCTTTAAGTGTATGAGCCAATACAAATTTCAGTCTTTTCTGCAGAATGGCTGGTCTACTCAGTTGTTTCTCCTCTTCTGTGTAGTTTGACTGTGGAGTCTTGTCTTTAAACTTAAGAAATTGTATTCTTTTTAGGCTGTTTCTCTAATTTGTCAAACTAATTTTGAATTCTCATCCAGTCCTCCAGCTGACTTGCAGCAACTCATGTCTGCACATGTAATTTGCAGTCTTATTCTATCAAATTGGTCATTAAAGATAGTATTAGACAGTACATAGCCCAGGAGTGCCCATTGATACATTTACCATTTTGACAATGAATAGCTTTCTGAATATAGCTTTCCAACTGGCATTTCATCTGATGTATAGTAGCGTCTTCTAAACATGTGCTTCCCTATTTTCTTTAAGAAATTGCCTATGTGAAACAGTGCCAGAATCCTTACTGAAGTCAAAATAGATGATGTCTCCCTGAACACAAGTCCTGTTACTCTGCCATTGCAAGAAAAAAATTGCTTTGACGTGATTTGTTCATAACAAATCCAAATCAGCTGTTACTCATCTCCTTGTTTTCTTCTAGGAAATCATGTGTGTCTCTGTGTGTGTGTGTGTATATAAAAATGTTCTGCCAGTATTTTTCCTGCTTGTTGGGATTAAGCAGACTACTCTCTAATTTCTCAGTTTTCCTTTTCTTGCTTCTTAAACAACACAAGACTTTTTTTAGTCTTACAGAACCTCACCCAATATCCATAAAACAACAGTTACAACTCTGGGATTATTTGGTTTCATTTTCACAGTATCTTCAAATCAGTATTATCAGGCCAATTGAGTTCCAAACATTTACCTCATTTAGATATTCTCTAATTGAGACAACAGTTCTCATTGCTGCTTTTACTTGTGTTTGCTGCCTGGTTGCAGTTGGCCTTTTTATTGAAGACTTCTACTGAAATACTTTCAAATGCATGGCATCATCTATTGCTATTGCTTGCTTTTAATAACAGACCAATTTCTCATGAAAACTTAACATATTTTTGTGTTTATGGAATGACTGTTATTCCTGATGTCATTGTTAGTTGCACTTCATCTATGCTTGGCTCTCCTGGTTTTGTCCCTGCTAGCTCATACCCTGTCTTTTACACTGGTTCAGAAAAATCACACTTATTTTGATCTTTCTGCCTGACTTGCCTGTGTTTACAGTCACTGGAGAACTTTCACTTGCGCCAGCCGGTATCTTCTCATCTGTCCTATCCTGTTGCTGCATTGGAGCAGTTTTCGCTAGTATCTTTATTACCTTTTCCTTTGTTTTTCTGTAGACTTAACCTCCCATGAGAACTTAGAGAACAATGTGCTGTATCTATTGAAACCTGTCTTCCCAAAATAATTCAAAAAATTATCGTTGTCCTTGTTCTTTCCCTTATAAAGCATATTGAACACTCTCATATCTTCACCACTTCCCTGTAAGTTCCTTTCCCCACCATGTTTTTTATCTGTTTTGCTATATTGGTTATAATCGTATCTAGAAGGTCATCTCTAGCTGTTGCTTATATATTAAAAATTGTCACCAAATTGCTTGCTACACACATGCATGCTGTATTCCTTTACCAACAAATGTCTTTGCAGTTGGAATATCCCATTTCCTCCAATCCTCCTTCTTAATGATCCCTCACCTGTATCTACCTGTAGAGGCCAACCAGATTAGTGAATGTCAATCTATGTCTTCAAAGTTTTTGTTTTTTCACTGTAATTATTTTGTTTGGATGTACTTTCTTGGAGGTTTACAGTGGTGAATTTAATTGTCTTAATATTGTTTATGCTTATCAAATGGTTTGTGCTTATAAAATGGTAGGCATTTCCATAGTCGAGGTGAAGATAAAGGCTTTTCTTCTATTTTTGCACTATATTAATAGAATATGAAGAGACTGTTCTATTGCTTTCAAAATATCTACAGATTTGTTCTTAATTATTGTTTAGTTTTCATATTTTGAAAAACAAAGATATTTAATTTAGAAATTTGATTTGCTTAATGAAATTAAGGCTGAACCAAGAAAAGTATTCAGTACTAATGAAATGTAGAGTCTGTGTATAACTGTATTACCACTACTAATACTAATGTGATCTCTTCTGAGTTATTGCATTGATCTTCCACACATATGTGAATAAAACAAATTATATTACCTCTTTTATGTTAGCCCATAAAACTAGAAAATGTTACTCTCTGTATGTATCACATTTGCATCGTGAGGATTATGGGGGTGCTTTCATTGCATAGTTTTGTATTTTTTAGAGGGTACTATATTCAGGTTTCCTGAAGTGTGTTAGAGAAATTAAATGCTCTTAGTAGTGTAGCTGTGTAGCAGGTCATATGTGTGAATGTAAACACATGATTTCGTACTTAAAAAAAACAATTACTGGATTTAACCGAGATTCAATTGAGAGGATTCATTGAATGCTTTTACTATTGCTAACATGTAGAATATCTTCCTCGGATACAAATTTTTAAAATACATAATATTTTCAATTTATAAAATATGAAATCTCCCAAAGGATTCAAAATGTAATCACCAGTTTCCTGTCTTGCCACAGAACAGTCTAGCTACTACCCAAGCTACTTTTAAAAGCAGCTGTATTTTGTTTGTTTTTTTATAGTTACAATTCCTAAATAAGTATTTGAATACCTGAAAGACTTGTTATCAATTAACATTATTATTAATGAAACCTATGGTCTTGAGACTAGAGAAATAATTACTTTTAATTGTATTAGTAATCATAGCAAAAGATCAAGCATCTGTATCTCATCAACTGCTACACACATTTCTCAGTTTGAAAATTTAAACTTTTTGTGAGTGCTTGATAATTAATTATTTAAGTGGATAATGCAGGTGATTTAAACTTTGAAAATATGACCTGATGAGCATCTTCGTGTTGTTTGATTAGAGTAATGTCATAGGTAATAATTTCTTTGTACTCAGACACACTAATCCTGTAAACCTGAATTCTATGAAGATTTGCATACGTGCTTGCCTCTGTACACAGTGAATAGTCACTCTGATTTCAAGCAGGTCATACATCTGTTGTTAACTTAGTAGCAAAAAACCCTCTTCACCTTCTTCCCCCATCCTTATCCTCATCTTGAATTAACCTACATCTTAGTTCCCAAGTTTCCGCGTGATCTGGACTTTTATGTTCAGTTTCAAAACCAATGATAATAGAGAAGATAAGGTTCCACATTTCTAAAGAATGTTTATAGCATAAATATTTATTCAGAATTTTAATGATTATTTCCTAAAAAAAAAAAAAAAATTGGAAGTAGTTTGCATAACAGCTTCTTTTCTTAAAAAAATTAATTGGGAATTAATTGTAAAAACCTTATCTGTCAATGTTCCCTTTTGCATTTATCATGCTAGGTAGTAGTGGTGTCAGAATGTTCATAAATCAGTAATCATGTTAGTTAGTAATGGAAATTCTGCTGTTGTTGGGAATTTCTGTCAATTGGTGGTCTAACATAATAGCTAAAAATTTGCAGAGCCTCCAAATACTAAAATATATTCGGAATTGGTGCAGCTATTAAGTCTATAGATGCCGTTCACTGTAGTCAGTGTGTTAAGAAGAGTGTTGCTCTATGATAGTACAGCACTGAGAGTTCAAAAACAGTCTGCATGTGCTCCTTTCACTGTTCAATAGCACATTTATTTTTTACCCCTGATATGTTATATTATTGTGCGAGTCCTTCTTCAAAAAAAGCCAGTAAATAATTCAGTATTATTTTAACACTGTTTAACTGCAGACATAACAAGTACTCTTTGTTTCTCAAAAATGGCTGGACAGAGTAGCACAATATTGTATATGAAGCAAGAATCCTGTAGCACCATCTGCTGGCATTGAGTTGAAAGCGGGTCTTGGGACTGACTGCAAAGCACTGCCTAGTAAAATACTTAAAATATATATATTTTCACATATTTGGTGCAAAAAAAACTATTTCATTTGTAGTATAATTTTAATCCTTTTTTATTAAAATCATAATGAGGAAATACAAAGTTAATTTAAAGTTAACTCATGAACTGAAATAGAATTAGGTCAGGAGTGTTTGTTAAGTGCGACTGTAAAAAGAAATTGAATACCTTTCTTTTTTACTAGAGCTTTAGCAAGTGCAATATTAAATCTTTCTATTCATGTTGTAAGTCAAATTCAGTAACATTTATTTCATAGAGAAGACCCACAAGGCTTAGAAAAGTATCCATAACATGTTTTGAAGAGGGTAGCAACCACTCAATATTCTTCTACCTAACATTTATTGCATTATTTGATGTTAGTCTTGAAAGCCTCATGAAAGCTTAATGGACAAGAGGCCCTGGTGCTATAATTGGTTCTACAATGTCCTGTATCTTCACCGGGCACCGTTGTAGCCAGTGCAGCAAGTACTGGGACTACCTGCATGAATCTAGAACAGAGCCTTAAATTATACAGCTACAAAAGGTCACTGTTGTTTCTTTTTTAAACTTTAACACACTGATATGTCAAAGAGGTTGAGGCCTCATTCCTCCAGGTATTCTATAAATCACATATAAATTATGGTTCTTGCCTCCAAATATTGAAACTGAAAAAAGATGAGGTATAACAGGTGGATGAATTCTGGTATATCTAGAAATCTGCAATGATGCTGCATAAGCAATATAATTTGGTATTTATATAATGCTAAGAAAGTCACATCATGGATGGATACAAGGACAAGGTCTTCATTGAAAATGCTTGCAATAGCATTCACTGATGCTTAAGAAAGCATTTAAATAGTCATAGTGATTTGGTACTGACAAGCATGTTAGTTTGTGTGTTATAAATATGTTTTGGCTAAAAGTATGTCCTACAGTGTTAAGGGCAGCATCTGTATCATCCTTGTTTTCAACTGGCTGAGAAAGATCATGTTTCAGGATTTGTCAATCAGAGTACGTAATTGCAAGTAACATTGTAGAGCAAGTTTTGAGGCACAACCAGATGCAAGTGAAGGCAGTATTTATTTCAAGACTGCAAACAGAGAAGGAGTCTGGATGCTGCTTTTTTGGCAGTATCCAGCTTCAGGAGCCACTGGAACTATATGCATTAAATTCTCTGGAAGTCTAAGGATATTTAGTGCTTCATGATGTAAGGCAACCTTTGAGTTCCAGGAAAAACAATGCTATATTTACAACTTGTAACTAATAGTTGATGTGGTAAAAGGAATTATATTCATATGGTAAATGAATACAACCTTAATGTGCACCATATGCATAGTGGCGGGATGATGTACTAATATATCACTTTTTTTTTACCTTGTTTGGTTGCTGGGAAAAATAAACATTCAGTTCAAAGCCTATACCATGTAAGACAGAACAGAGTAATGCAGAAGATACAGTAATTTATAGTCTAGAATAAAATTACCAACTTAAATGTTGTAAAAATTATTTGGTCAATACAATAATCCTGACTTGGGTTGGAAATTATTTTGTAAGTGTTTCTGGATGTAAATTCTATTAACACTAGTATCACAAAAAGCATTATTCCACTGAGTGCAAGAATGCTATATGTAATTAGAATTATGGCCTGCTTCGTTGAAAAAGTATGTTTTAAAACAGTTACTTTTAAAAAGACAGCTAATTTATGTATGCTCTGAACTGGGTGTATGCCATCGGTATTCCCAGTTACATCAATACCTAAAGGTGGTAAGCATCTATCTAGTGCAATGCGCTACTGGTGCGTTGGTCTGAAATTAACTTTACGAAAGCAATCCAAAAGCTAAAGCACAGACTTGTATGCATGCTGTTACGGAACAGTAGTACTTTGCAGTGATACATTTTTCTTATTTTAAACAAAAATAAATTATTTTAATAGCAAAAAAAAATCAAAAACTGGTGAATTGAGCTGAATTCTCATCTGAAACCTCTCATCTCAGATTATTTTCTGCCCAAGGTATGAAATATTGTGTAAGTTTCAACTAGTGGTCAGTTTCAGCACGTTGTAAGATGTCTTTTATCTTACAACAATTCTGCAGTAGGCGCTATTTCTGACTGAAATAATTGCTTGATGGCTTTTTTTCCTTTTCTGTTGAGGTTTGTTGGTTTTTTTCTTGGACTCACTAGATAATGGAATAGTTATAACCATAATCCACAAGAGAGAAATACGAAGAAAACAGACTATTTTTTTAGCATAAACAAAAAAAGCCCCTTCATAAAGCTGTTTTAGAACATTCTCAAACAAAAATGACAGTGTTTTAAACTTCAAAGCTGATATTTAAGTAGCAGTTTATGAAGTCAGGATGGTGCAAATATTAAAATATTAGTGTACACTGACCCTGAATATTCACCTGCAGATACTTTCCAGGGGCTTCAAAAAGGTCTGTATTCAGTGGGAGGAGTC